GTTATGAGTCATCGCTACCCTTTACTCCGTACACTCGGTGGTGTGCTAATTCTGCTCTGAGTTTCCTCTCAGCATTTCACAATCCATTGTTTTCTCTGCCGCCCTGCATGATACACACCTTCCCATCTCCCCCGGCGTGACTAGAGCCGTGCACAACCCCCCTGCCCCGGGAAGCATCAGCCATGAGACGGCCTTTTCTTCTCTAGTCTCCAGAAACCTCCATCCCACTTTCCAGAGGCCCCGCTGCCCAACCAGAGATGAGTCACTGCTTTCCGGGAGGCGGTTCCATTGCCCCCAAGCTAGGACACTTCAGCAGCATCTGCCCTGCTGCAGCTCCTCACAGACAACCGTTTTCAGTCTCACCTGGGAACACAGGGCCACACCCTCAGTTCATCCACACTGAGCCGGCCTCCCCAGCCACCCAGAGCCCTGGCCAGGGCTCCAAACCCGACTGGCCTGATCAGAAGGGAACATCACTATGATTTATTCCGTTCCTGGTCCCACCTCTCTAAACCTGAAACAGCCACAGGGACAGTCCCTTATTCCACCCAAAATAAAGTCACCTTAACTTGTGCCTGGTAAAAATACTCCACTGGACCACTTTTCTTATTCATATACTTCATGCTGAGTCTGTTGATATTTTACCTGTTTTCTAACTTTATTCTTGTATCATCTGGGAGGACAGGATCCACCCTCGTTCTCTCCAAACAGCCTAAGTGCAGAACTACTAAGCTTTTTTTTTCCCCCTTAGGAAAAAAGACTGCCATTAAGGAACAAAGCAAATGAATACCGGGCCTCCCAATTTAATTATGAAGGAATATGAGCAAGAGAGTAGTAACTCCTGAAGACACCTTCCTTCCATGTGGTGAGATGCGAGACTTGGTCATTCAAACACAAGCCTTTATTCCTCAATTGAGGCACTAAAAATAGCCCCAGACATTTTACACTTTAGTTGGATCTTTCTGCTTATCTCTTTATGACATTCTCTTGCTCCAAACAGAAAACCCTGCTTGGCATCTGGTTGACAACTTTAATACTCGTGAGAAATGACAGGGCTGAATTGAAGGCAGGCTGCCTTTCCCGTAGTTCTGAAGGCTGGGCCCGCATTCCTAGGACTGGTTCCTGTGGTTGCTGAACCACATGAACTTCTTCAGCTCGAGTGTTTCAGAAAAGTCTACAAATTTAACTCTGAAGACAGATAACTCCTATGTAATATTCAGTGAGTGTTTCCCAACCTTTTTGGGGGGAAGTCACAGACTCTTTCGAGAATCTAAAAAAAGGTACAAGCTTTCAGCAGAAAAGCTGAAAAACGCTGATAGCCAAAAATCTAGGGTACAGTTTTAGGGGGCCTACAGTCCATCTGAGGTCCATGATGGATAGCACGATATGAACATCTATATTTGCCCCATACATTGGCCTGGGGTTCAAAGAGAGAGGGAGGGAAAGGAGAATTAGCAGAGAAAGAACAGGGAAGGGAGAAGGGAAAGGAAATAGGTTTGGAGTGGGAGAGAGAAAGAGAGAGGAGACAGGAAAGAAGAGGGAGAAAAAAAACCTAATAAACATGGACAGAGTCTCTCTTCAACCTGTTTGTCTTATCACTTTGTTTCCGGCTTAGAAGCGATTGCTGAAGACTTGCATCAGTCGAAGTAAAGCTGGACAAGACAACCCAATTCATTGGTCTCCCCAGGTGTAAGGAAATCCTCACTAACTACCCATTACTAGAAACAAGAACTCCTGGTTTTGCCTAAGCTTTTCTTCCCAGTGCAAGACATAAAGAATATTAACTCTCAGGGGACACCGTTTCAATGCTGCCTCTGTGCGTGATGCCCGAAGAACCACGCTCCTCCTCCAACAGGTAAGTGATCTGCTAAGCGAGCGTGCAGCTCGAGAGGGGTCCTTTTGGACCGACCCTCCCCTGAGAGGGATGCAGAATGGGGTTCGGGCGAATAAAATCACCCAGTTCCCCAAATTCTGGCCATCCGCAAACCTCAGAAAAACAAGTGAAGCTAAGACATAGGCAGAGCTTTCCCAAGCAAGCCCCCCCCCCAATTCACGCCCACTGCCCACCTCTAATTTCACACACCCAAGTGGTTTTGCCTCACGTTCATGATCCCCTACTAATGAAAGTGCTTTCACTGGCACGGGAAGGTAGGTTTCACACAGGGAAACACTGGTCAGAAACTCGAGCTAACACATCGGACACGCTGTTCTCTCAGCAAGTTACCAGCTCAGCCTATGGCAGCACCGGATCTAGAAAGAGAGCCAAGTGCGCCCTGGTGGAACGGAAGGGTGTGAACTTCGGCCTCATGAGCAGGGCTTCCTGCAAAAGGTGGACTGATTATTTCTCCTCCCACCAGGCTGTTCCCATAGGTGACATCCATGCATTCTGTTATGTTGCGCTTATATTGATTAGAACTTAAAAATAAAGAGATAGTACACTTGAAACAATATATGCCAACTGTAACTGGAATATAAATTTAAAAAAATATTATACTCTCCAAACCCTTCACTACGTAATGACATAGCCACAAAATTCACAATAATAATAATAATAACAACAGTAATAACAGTGCTACCGTGGAAGAGAAGGAGACCCTGACCTTCGGAAATCTTCTCATTTTCATTCATTTCTCCAGGGATCTTTACCACGACCATTGTTTCAACTCCACTCAATGCTTCAAGGCCCACCTAGATTCTGCCTCATGGATGCAACTCTGCCCATACCCTGGTGGGCACGGCCCCTTCTCTCTCAGCTTGAACAGCTTCATTTCCTCTTGGGGCGGTGCTTCCACTCTGTCTGATGAAGTATTTAGGTACACGGCATTTTCACAAGGCTCTGAGCTACACTTGGGCAACAGGATCTAAGTTTTACTACTGCGTCCCACGAATATCCAGGTGGGTGCCTGACACACAGTAGGTGCTCAACAAACAGAGAACCAAAGGGAGAAGTTAGCCTGCTGGATTGTTTAGGCCATCTCCACTTGGCACCCTCTAGAACGGCCAGGCTGCAGAACGGCTAATTGCCCAGATGCGAATCACCTGAATTGGGTCTAAGTGTCCTGCTGTTACCGCACTCCCACCACAGGGCCTGGGCACCTGCTGTCTCCTCTGCCCAAAAGCCTCTTCTTGAGATAGACATTTGGTTCTTTCCTGCATCTCCTGCTGATCTTTGTTCGAATGGTACCTTCACATAGGAGTCTTCCCTGTCTGCCTGCTACGGTTTAGACGGCATTAGGAAGTGGGGCCTGTGGGGGCTGCTTAGGTCACAAGGGTATAATGAGGGTTATGAGGATCGTACATGGGACTTGTGCCTCATAAAGAGACCCCACAGAGCTCCCCAGCTCCTTCTGCCGTGTGAGGATAGAATTTGAAATCCACAACCATCCTGACACCCTGATTTCAGACTTCCAGCCTCCAGAACAGTAAGAAATAAATTTCTATGGTTTCTAAAGCACCCAGTGTGTGGCATTTTGTTACAGAGGCTTGAATGGACTAGGACAAACCACGCCCCACCCCACCCCCGGCCATACCCGGGAACTCCCTGTCCCTTTTTCCAAATTATTTCTCTGTGTGTCTCTGATCATCATCTATTATCCTGTATACGTTATTTTAATTTTTTCGTATCTTCTACTTCCCACCTCATATCCCAGAGTGCAAATTCGATGAAGCAGAGATCTTTATAAATTGTATTTACTCCTTCACGTGCTTAATGCTTAGAAAAGTCCCTGGAAGCTTAAGGTAAATACTCAATAAAAAGCTTTGGAACAAATTTTTTAAATGAATCATAAAGCATTTCTAAAGCACCAACTTCTATTTGGCACTGATCCCACATAAGACAACTGCTACCAGCCAAGAAACACCATTTAATCCAATACACGTAACTCGGTACACCTGCAAAACAGAAAATCGAGCATGGGGGGAGCCCATGAGCCAAGGCAGGCATGAGTCCCACAGAAGCCACGCCTCCCACAGAAGCCACGCCCACACGGAGCACCAACTCCCACAGAAGCCACGCCCACACGGAACTTCAGGATGGGAACTAAAGGACATTTAGCGCAGCCTTTCAGCAAATGCTAAAATCCTTCCTCAAAAGAATCCAACTAAGGCAGGGGTCACATGAATTTACCTAAACTAAAACCCAGGAGAAGGCTGACTTCCTGTAATCCTCCTCCAAGTAGTGATACAAATGAGGAGCGTCCTGTTGTAGCAAAGACCACACTCCTGAGCTGGAACTGGGGTCACTCCCAAGAGTGATTTCATAAGAGTTGAGGGAGGAGGCAGAAGGGGAGAGCAGGATCAGGGGAAGAGAAAGAAGGCATATGCTGAACTAGGATTAAGAGAACACAGTTTTTAAAACTTACTCAAGGTACCAAAACAGCTGGTTATACTGCTGAGGAAAAAAACACCAAAAATTAATACTAAAAGGTATAAAAACATTAAAGAGTTTGGAAGACAAGGCATATAGCTATTAAAGGCCTAGAGAGTAATGGTCAAAACACCTGAACATCTATAAGACCAGGGTAATGAGCGCTTCGACAAATCCTGTCCCGATGGCACTGATGATGGACATAGAAGGGTCACCATCAAGAACGTAAAGAATGATCACCCAGATCTCATACATGGGGGTCAACTGAAGACTGGAAGGAGACTAAGAGGGTGCCCAAGAAGCTTCTACGAAGAACAGTAGTCACAAAAATTCTTTCTCATAAAAAATGATGTGATCTCTTGACACAACAAACTTCCTGGCATTAACAACCCGACAGGCCACCCTGATTTGCAAGAGGATGCTCTGCTGTCCAATCCACAGGGTCAAAGAAAGCAATGACCTACTACCATGTGCTGACAGCAAGGTCCCACAGCGCACAGGCTGGGGCAGAGAAACGTGCCCTGTGCCTCTCTGTGCTTCCCCAAAACCCGAGCACACGGCTGGACACAGAGTAAGCACGTGGCAAGAGATGCGCTCCGAGTTACGGGTGCCAAGGCCCCTGCTCCACGTTTACCGTCATTGAAGCTGTCGCTGCTGGTAGTGTGCGTGAACGGCGACTGCGCCCGAGGCTCCTCACACAGGGAGTAGCTGTGCTCGGCCTGGATGAGAGGCGCGGGGGACGTGGGGGACGGCTCCACCTCCATGGACACGCTCTTCTCTGAGAGGAAAGGGTCGTTCAGGAGCTGGCCCAAGACGTTCTGGGAAAACTCATCCAGAAGTTCTGAGAAGTGCTGCAAGAAACAAAGGAAGAAGAACTCAGTTTCTCTTAACTATGATCTGCCAGTAAAAGGCAAATTCTAAAGCATATACCTTCCCCAGAGCCTTAAATGAAGTCACTGACACACACCGTCCAGTTAACTGTGCAGCACGCTACCCTGAAGGTCAGTGGCTCAAAGTGACCACAGTTCACTATTTCTTACCCCTGGCGGGTTGGCTGGGGGGGCGAGCTGTTTTCTTCTGGGTTCGCCCATACAACCATGGGGAGCGAGAAGGTCAGCTGGGAGCTGGGATGGGCCCCAACAGGGGACGCCTGGGCCTTTTGGTCAAAGCGACTTTCTCAGGCTTAGGTCCCTCCTCTGGTGGTAGAAAGGCTCCACGTGGGTGCAGAACAAAGCTGAAGAGCCTCAGAAGTCATCCATCATCATCATTCCCCTGACATTCTTTTGGGCAAGGTGAGTGACAAGGACCAGCCCAGATTCAGAGGGTAGGAAAACAGATTCTGCCTCTTGATGACAGAAATGGCAAAATCATGTTGCAAAAGAGTGTGGACAGAGCTTCTCGTGACTCACGAGGGGCCCTCACTGTGACTGCCTACCAGGATCGGCACTGGGAAATATTTCTAAACAGCGATCCTCTCAATTACACCAAGGGGCCAAGTTCAAAGGCATCAGAGGCAACTCCCCTCTATTTTCCCCTGGACTTTGCTCCTCTCATTTCTCCTTAATATCCTTAATTTCGTCTCATCCTCCATCACCAGCACTACCAGTTCCCTAGTCCCCAGCATTCCACGAAGATGACTCAGGAGTAATCTCTACACATAGTCATGGAGACTCCTGTGTCCTTTGTCCCACTGTTTCTTGCTGAGGAGGCGCCAGGCCCAGCCACGCCCCCTCACTGATAGGGAGCGACTCCCAGCGTGAGGATCTGCAGAGCACAGGGCCTCACAACCTTTGCACTATCAAGGTGTGGACTGGGTAATTCTTTACTATGGGAGTGGGGCTGTCTGTTCCTATGGGGTATTTAGCAGCCTCCCGGGCCTCCAGCCACCCGACCCCAGTAGCAGTCCCCTGGTTTTGACAATGAAAAATGTCTTCAGACACTGCCCCATGTCCCCACGGGGAAGGAATCACCCTTGGCATGGAGCCACTGCTACAGAGTAAATTTAAAAAAATAGTAAGTTAATGGAATTTAAAAGTACACCCCGACAATAGCTGGTAGAGCCACTTCTTCCTTCCTAATGTTCCCTAAGTCACAGACTAATATGTGTCATTCTTCCTGATCAAACCTCAGGGACGTTTCTGCTTTCGTAACAACGAAGTTACGAAAGCCGATACAGGAATCAGAGAACTGATCGCATAGGGTGATCCTGACCTGAGGCCTGAGTGAAGGTGTGAGAATGAATGCAATGGGGGAAAGGAAAGCAGGAGGCGACTCTAAGGCAAGAGAGAGCTCTAAGCTGGGGTAGTTGCGGGGCAGAACCCCTCCTGTAATACAGGAGAGAAGCAGACAACACCGAGGGGGGCCCCTGCAGGCTAGGGCCCTAAGGTGGAGTGGGCCTGGTGGGCTTCACCAACATCACGAACACGAGAAACGGCTGCAGCTCATCCAGACAGGAGGCAGAAGAGTTGCGGGACCGGGGCGCATCCCAACAGGCTGCAGTCGACTGTTGAGAACAGGAGAGCGCGGCTGGGAGCAAGCTCTCTGCGCGCAGACTTGCTGACATTGAAAGGCCCTTGGCGATGAATGGCTCAGGCCGGAATCTCAGAGGCTGGCCACTGGCAGCACGCAATCGCCAGGAGAGTTTTGTTCTAGTCATTTTATAACAAAATAGCACCGTGAATAATTACGCATTCGTTCCTTTGGGAAAGTCCTATTTTCTTCACGTTTGCTGCTGCAACCTTCTCTTCTTAACTCTTTTTTGTTTTTAAAGAAGTAACGCGGGAAGGGACTGTTAAAACTCCCACCCAATCTTCTTCTTTCCTCTCGAAGTTAGTCACTACCATCCCAAACTTGCTGTTTACTATTCCAGCCACACTGCCACTATGTATGTGTGTTTTCGTTGCCCACATATGGGTTTTTAAAACTGAATGAGTCGTATACCTCACACATCCTTCTGCAACTTCACTCTCTCCAACAAAAGATTTTTAGATTCATTCATGTTTATACATATAGCTCTAGTTCATTCATTTGAAATTCTGAACTGTACTCTATTCTATCTACCCATTTCCTCTTGAGTGGTATAGGAGTTTATTTTTATATGTGATACTGTAATAAAACTTCTCAAACATGAAGGGAACTTATTTTAAAGGCCAGATCCAGTAATTCACCTTCAGAGATCCTGACCCAGTCAGTGAAAAGCATCCATATTAAAACTGCCGCCACCCTGTGATTCTAAAGCTCACTTCAATTTTCCAGCCACTGAGGCTCCACCCCTTCACTCACCACCCCTCCTCCTGCACCACTTCAGGATTAAGTCCCCCGGATGTTTACAAAGATTGAGGATACAAAATGATCAATAAGACAGAAGAAGCCAATCCCTTCCTTGAGCTCACCATGCGGCGGGTGCTTCTCCAGATATTATGTGCTATGAATCACCTGGGATGGCTCCCAAGTCTGGGGGGTCTGCGATTCTGCATGTCTAACCAGCTCTCAGGGACGCTGCTAGCCCCTAGCGAGGAGCAGGACAGCTTCAAAGTTAAGACGGTATCCCACGATAACCTGAAATCAGGGTCTGATTCCCCAAGCAGCTGCCCAAAGACCAGTTTACTGGTTGGCTGACAGCAAATACTCTGCAAGCGTCTGACAGAGTTCCTTTCAAGACCAAAATTAAGGTAACACAAAGAGAAATAGATAACACAGAGTGTAAAATGCAAAACCAAGAGTTGAACTCACAGCCCCCGCATTTCCACGCGAGAATTCTGCCCCTTGAGCTACAGTGTCAACTCTGGGCAGCTGTGTTGGCCCCGCCCAACCCCCAGAATGCCGTCCTGTCCCCAGGAGAGGCTCTCTCTTCCATGGCCCGAGCTTTCCCATGGAGGTTGCCAGGCTGGGTGGGACTTTGCTGACGCTGTTTTTTTCTCCTGTGCAGCACTAATGAATGTTTCCATGAACATCCCCAGGATAACCAATAATAAACCTTCCCAAACTCTGCCATCCATCTCCAAACTCCCCCTACGTCGGATTTTGTGGTAATTATCATGTTACCATACGACGTAGCCATAAATGATGATGAGTCCTGAGAACTCATAGTTGTTGCTAAATGCATTATGATAGCCTCTCCTCTGGAAAATGAACCTCCTCGGAAGAAGGGACAGACTGTCCCTAACCACCCCGCACACCTAGGAACTTAGCAGAGTGGTGAGCACTGCACAGTTCCCAGGGAGACGCTTGTCATTGGAAAGATATGCCCAGCGTGTCCTGACCAGATGCTGTGACTCAGCGCAGTAAACAAGCCCCAGCTGTGGGCTGCAGGGCTCAGCAGACAGGTCAGCGTGGCCCTGCTGGCACTGGGACCGGGCCTGCATCGGCCCATCCCTGATGCCAGCCGTGAGAGAGGGGCAGATGGTCTTGGAGGCCCAAAACCAGAGAAAGGAGCACAGTGAGCATCCGAGAGGGGGCCTTCTCGATCCTGCACACACTTCAGCAAAGGACTACTCATGTGAATCCCAGGGTTATGCAATGTGAGTTGAATTCTTCTAAGCACACGACCGCATTTTACCACTCTGCCTAATAGTTCAGCCACACTTGATGGGTCTATAAGGTACTTCCATAGCTTTCTTGTCCATCAACGCTCACAACAATGCCACAGTCCAAGATCTCAGTCACCTACTATGAAGAGACAGACCTTGAACTAGGGTCCACTTATTTCAGATTGACTGAACTTCTCCACACTGTTTCACTAAGAAAGAAGTAGCTGAGCTTCACAATCCAACTACGTGGAGAAGTCCTAACAAGTACAAAACATGATGCTGATGCTGGTCACTGACGCTGATGTTGACAGGATAGGGGGCTAGAGGACTAAGTGTTTGAACATGTCAGGCTTTCAGAAAATGAGCTGGGTGCTTTCCTGTGAGGCAGACATGTCCCCATTTATATACAGGGAAAACTGGGGCTCAGAGTAGGTAGGTTCATTGCCCAGGGTAGAATTGAGATTCTGTCCCCAAATCTAGCCAGTTCCAAAGCCCACACAACACTGTCTACCATAGCATGCTGCCTCATTTAAGTCAACCTCTAAAGCTGACACATAGTGGAGACTGGAATTTAAAAAAAAAAAAAAAAGACTTACTGACAGCCCTCCTACTCTCATTTGCCCACCACGAACGCACAGCCTCCCACCTTCCAGGTGGAGAAACGTGCCAGGGAGTGTGAGATGGAGAGGCTCCTAGTGTCCCTGCCGTGGGACACCAGCAATAAGGATGAAACGATTTACTTGCCCCTTGTGTATGGTTCTCTGCCAAAGGGTTCAAAGTAGCATCCCAGAATCTGCAGATCGGAGGAACCCCCTCAGCCACCTGAGTGAAGACGCTTGGCACCTCCTTTAAGAACCTGTGTCAAGGCCTTGTAACACTGAATCGCCTCCCACCTGGCCCCCGGGGGTCCGGTAAAGTGTTGTTAAAGTGTTGTCTCAACTCTATTCTAATACTTTCGTTCCAGCACTAATGGAATTCCTATGACACTGTAGCAATATGGCTTTGGAGCCAGGCAGCGGTGGAGTTGAATCCCAGCTCTTAGCTGTGCAAACCTGAGCAACAGCCTCCAGGTCTCGCAACTTCTGTTTGCTTTCCCTGTAAAGTGAGGATAATAATAGCTCCAGCTTCCTGTTTTGAGGATTAAATTAAATAAAGCGGCAATGCACCTAGCACTTCACTGGCTTACTGATTTTTTTAAAAAAGCCTTGGAAAAAAACCCCTATCACAATGAAAACAATACGATGTTGGCTTTGTCTAATTATACACTGGCTTCTCACAGTTTTTCCTAGAGCACCCCTCCATTTTCTTCTCTGTCCATCAGG